GCAGCCGAAACGGCACAATCGTTTTTCATCAAACTTGGTGGAAAAATCGCATAAAATTCGTACAGTGGAACAAACCTGGTCCCATATCGATGGTTTCTTTAGGAAGCCATTACATAACTATACCCTGGAAAACAATGCAAGTCTACTGACTTGGCGCACCCAGCCCACGATTGCAGTTATCATACGGCTCCCTCCTCCTCCCCCACTTTTTTCTTAGCCTACTTTTTTTTTAATGTTGTTTGGATTAGTAAAGGAAGGAAGAAGAGTAAATAGAAGAATAAATAAAGAAGGGGAAACAGGAAATAACAGGTGGGGGGGAGCTGAGTTTCACCATGCGTCTGGATGCGCAGTTTCAACGTCACCAGACGACCTTACATCTACAGTGTATACTTATTCCTGTGGCTCATGGAAAAGGAGAAGAGATAAAAAGATAATAACAGGAATCCATGGAGACGATGACTACAATAGACAAAGGGTGAATATAGACAGTGAAACAGACAGGAGGTTGACAAAAACAGACAGATTCATACATGCACAAATAGACAATATGGCAACTAACATAACAGACAGACAGCTAACTGACTGGTTCACATTAGACAAACAGGCAGAAACACACCAACAATGGATAAGACAGACAGATTTGACAACACAAAGAGTACAGACGAACAGACAGTTGGGATGGCAATAGACAGGACGGATAGACTTGAGACAGATTAGAAGGCATTTATAAACAAGAATATCACCAAATTGACCATAGCTGTGTCAGTGAGGGTAGGAGGTCTTACATCCACCAGCGTAAATAATTAAGAAGCATTGAAAACTAACACCCTCGCGCGGAAAGACCATCGATGGTCGGTCAGTCGTGCGAGATGGGCCTAAAAGTGACTAACGTAGATGATGACTATGATAACTTAACACAGGTGATGACTTAAGCAGATGGTGACTAATATAACCAGAATCAATGTCACTTCTCTTCATAATATAATTTATCTCGGAATGATCATCGGTGATTCATATTTTTTTTTATGATTTTAACCTCTCCTTATGGCGAATATTTCTTTAATTAATTATTCTAACCTTTATTCTATTCCTTCTTATAGTATATTAGATACTGTAAGTAGCACGACCACGACCATGATTATAACAACCACGACCATGATAATAACAACCACGACCATGATTATAACAACCACGACTATGAATATAGCAACCACGACCATGATTATAACAACCACAACCATGATTATAACAACCACGACCATGATTATAACAACCACGACTATGATTATAACAACTACGACGATGATTATAACACCCACGACCATGATTATAACAACTACGACCATGATCATAACCACGACCATGATTATAACAACCACGACTATAATTATAACACCCACGACCATGATTATAACAACCACGACCATGATTATAACCAAGATCATGATTATAACCACGACTATGATTATAACAATCCACGACCATGATTATAACACCCACGACCATGATTATAACACCCACGACCATGATTATAACACCCACGACCATGATTATAACACCCACATCCATGATTATAACAACCACGACTATGATTATAACAACCACGACTATGATTATAGCACCCACGACCATGATTATAACAACCACGATCATGATTATAACAACCACGATCATGATTATAACAACCACGACCATGATCATAACAACCACGACCATGATTATAACAACAACGACCATGTTTATAACAACCACGACCATGATTATCTCATATACTATAGGAATAGCCGTGTGTGTGTCTGTTCTGGGCAGCCGAAACGGCACAATCGTTTTTCATCAAACATGGTGGAAAAATTGCAAACCTGGTCCCATGTCGAAGGTTTCTTTAGGGAGGCATTAATTAACCATTTTATTTACGCTTGAAAACGATGTCGCTGTACGCTACCAGCCTTCCGGCGGTTGCGCGCTAGCCAAGCACGAGCGTTCGAACTTTCACGCTTTGGTAAACTGTACCACCGGACTCGCCACCGGGCACAAAGTGCCCATGATCACTTGTTAATATTATAACACTTATTACTTACAACAGTAGCCTGCCACCACCCAATGGGTAGAAGAAATAGACCGGTGTTACTCGTAGTTTCCTTATCCAATATTTATTAACAGATGGAATGAACAAGATGTTAATTAATTACACTCGGACAAGGTTGGACCACTTAGGTTTTACTTTACATTAATAGCAAAATAGATCATTCCTTGATTACAACATTACACTCATTATATTACTTCATTGTCAATACAGATGATTATATAACACACTCGACAAGATCCAAAATTAAGATATTATTAAATATATCCTGTTAGTTCGGTATGAACAACATGGCACTTTACTAGCATTCAGTGGTAGTACACCTGGTTAGTGGACTCAACTTCTATAACAACAGTACCATTGGCAACACCAACATTCATGGGTTCAATACTTAACCTGGGATAACTATATGTCTGCTAATTATCACCAATCATATACAACAATAATACTTTGGCCCATATAACTGTAAGGAGTGCCTCAGGATGTAACAACAAACGAAGAACGCTGCTAAGGTCGGTTGTAGTCCGACTCACAGCGAGGGAGTTCGGGCCTAGTTCTCTGGGTGCGGACTCGCACAGTTTAATCCTGCCGAATTAATGACATCATCCAATACAGCCAGTTGGTATTGTAAAGGCCTGGGACTTAGGGATAGAAATCCCTTGCCAGCCTAATCAGGATCTTATAAGAGGAAAGTCAAGAACTATGGTTTCCTGAGGGATAAACAACCGTTCAAGATTGACATCTCCTTACTATGAAAACAGCACAAAACTCTGACACCACTCACACAAACATCAAATAACAATTACGGGAATCAAACAATTACGGGAGTCAACAATTAAATGAGTCAATTAATTAAGGGAATCAAACAATTAATGGAGTCAACAATTAATGGAATCAAATAATTAAGAGAATCAAACAATTACGGGAGTCAAACAATTAAAGGAATCAAACAATTAAGAGAAATTTCCAACGGCGGCGGCCCTGGGGAAGGATCTGGAAAGCAGTGATCCGCTCTCAGGGGGGGGGGGAGGTCAAGTCAGCTTCTTCATTTGAGCGACGGCGGGCGATGTCTTACTACATAGGAGAAATGGCCAGGTGCACGGAGGGTGTGGAGGAACTGGCGATGACGTGACAGCCGAGGTAGTAGCTGGGATAGGTGTCCGGGATTGACAGTCGATTTGTGAAGGTCTAGGGAAACAGCCCACGAGTCCAGGACCTATGATGAGATCACAACCAGAATTTGAACGAACAGCGGGGTAGTGTAGCTGTACCGACAGCTGGGTTGTGTCTGCTGTGTCACGAGGCAGCAGCGACCTTCTCACCTCCGTCTACCCCCCAAGTGGGGGACGTGAACAAGCAAACGAGCTGCGGCAACCGTCCTGCTCGTTACCGTCCTTACAGGTATGCAGCTATCGATCCCCGGTAGCTGTTGGGTATTCAGCTAACACACACACACTGTGCCTGAGATAATGATGGAGAAGCGTCAGAGATGGGAATAATAACTTAATTAAAAACAAACTTTCGTATCGACAGACGAGATTTACGTTACATTAATTCTTTCACTTGGTAAATGATAATTTCACTGTTACAACATGAACACCGATATTCACAAAATTTACTGAGTTAAACTGACTTAATATGGCGGGCAGAGAATCGTACACATACCTGAGATTATGATGGAGAAGCGTCAGAGATATGACGCTCTTCCGTGCACGAGCGTATATACGGCTAACTGGCAACTCAGGCCTGTGCGGAACAAATGCCAGAAAGGCTACTCACGCAATGACAGAAATTACATTCAACTCAGTCGCTGTACATTTAACTATGAAAATCAATGCCACGGGTCAGGCGAATTTCTTACGTCTATTCATATAATCTAATCAGAGATTGAGCTTGCCAGGAAAAAAATGGATTTACACACGCTGTTAACACTGTTTTACAAACTCAGCAAACTACAAACAAGGAGCTATTCAAGGGGATACGTTAGATGTTGGAGATTATATGGGTTGACAGAATAGTTCAGGAGCAGTGCCGGATTTAGACCTGTGGAGGCCCATGGGCAGCCTCTTTGTGGAGGCCCCCCTCATTATAACTACCCAAGAGGGTGGGGTGGCGAGTGAAGCGAGCTTAAACATCTGGGAGTTCCGGGGGGCTCTGTAAGGCCCCGGGAAAATTTTGAAATTTGAACACTTCTTTGGAGAATTTTGAAGCCATATGCAGTTACATTGAGGAAATTAGAACATTAAGGAATTTTTAATTAACTGTATATTTATTGATAGAGTACAAATTCCCAACACACACACACACACAAGTGAGACATGACTTGAGTCATTCATGTGGTTTCAAGTCGACCAGCCCTGATATAGCTACTACCGCACTTGTCAAAAATTTTCAAGAGACTTCACAGAAAAGAATATATTATTAGTTATTACAGAGAGATGATTCTTTGCATTATTAATCAGATAAACCTCTACTCAAATAATGGTTCTGTCCAAGAATGCATGAATAGGCTTCTTTAAGTCTAAGGTCAGATAGATTCAGAATAAGTATTAACTCAACTATAAATAAAACTGAAGTTTTGCATCCAATAGTAAAACAAATAAACAATTTAATGAATTTGATAAAATTATAACAAAAGTATGAGCATGTTGGAAAAAACAAGAATTTTAATAAAAATAACTGCCATCGACCATGGATAATGGATATATTGAAAACAAACATTGATCAATTGCAAAATAGAAAATAAACATTACCTTTATTTACAGACCAGGCACTTTACGTGACCTTGCCGCTGCAAAGTTTTTGATCAACTTTTCGAAGTCAATCTCTCTGAGGATGTCATATTCGATACTCATCAAAGCCAGGTGGCTGAGCCTATCATGACACATTGTAGTACGAAGTCTCTTTTTAATAAACTTCATTTTACTGAAAGAACGTTCTCCAGAACAATTTTGACCATGAGCACCAAGTACATCCGTAGCATTATTTCAACATTTGGAAATGCATCTACAACTCTCTTGTCTATCAACAGCTTGTAAAGGTAATGTGCCCTCCCTTTCTCATCATCTTCGTCTTCAAGAAATTGAGTGAAGAATGCTGTAAACTGCACAAGTTCAACTCCAAGTGTTTGATCCAAATCATTTTTGTACTCGGCAACCAATTTTGCTGCAGCTGCTTCAATTTCGTCACAATTCATTGACTCCAGTTTAGACAAGAACCCGAAAAGTGAACAGGTTTCCTCATAGGCCTTTAACCGTTGATCCAGTGAACTCAGGAACTGATCAATTGCTGGAAGGAAATTCTGAACCCGAAATTTTTCTGACTGTGAGAGGGCTGCTTCTTCTGATCGTCCATAATCCAATGGATTGAGTCGTACATTACGTTGACGCTTGCGTGTCTGTGAATAATCCCCAGTTTCTGACATTTCCCTTCCCTTCTTCTCATAAACATGGAAGCAATCTCTTTTTTCTCGTACAAAACATTCCAAGGACTTCAGCATTGCTACTGCTGTGTTCAAATCGAGTTTAGGATCTTGCAATGCATGACTTGTTGCATCAACTCTGCCGAGAATGTCATGCCAAAACACAGCATAAATAGCAGTCTCTAACTTGCACATCTTATCATGGAGACCATTGGCTTCATAAAATGTTTTGCTTGTCTCATTTTCATCTCTAGCTATTTTAGCAAGTCCTTCACGGATTGGGAGATAACCTTGGACAACTACTTTCACTGCAACTGCTCGACAGGACCATCTTGTTGTGGAAATCCTCTTTGACATAGATACTGGGCCAGACGCTACAGTTTTCAATAAATCACCAAGAATTGCATAACGATGTGTAGAAGCTGTGAAGAACACATAAATTGCCTCAAGAAAATAAAAAAATGAGATAGCTTCTTGACAGCATTCAGCTGCAGCCTTTCCAACCAAGTTTAATGAATGAACAGCACAGGGTAACCAAATTGCATGATGATTTTCAGCTACAACTTTGGCTTGCAGACCATTGTACCTCCCACTCATAGATGTTGCATTACCATAAGATTGCCCACGACAATTTTGAATGTCAATGTCATTGTCTGCAAGAAACTTCATCAAACATTCAAACATTTCTTGAGCCTTGTGTCCTTGATTTGGCAAGAATTTCACAAATCTTTCAACGGGTGTGTCATGCTCCATGTATCTGATTATTATCAGAGTTAGTTCATCAATATGGCCTTCATCAGGGGTGGAATCTAGAGAAATTGAGTAATATTTTGAGAGCTTTATACGTGAGATAATTTCGTTCAGTACTTCATTGCCCATTAGTCTGACAATTTCTTCACAGATGGTTGAAGACAAATAGTTTGTATGACCAGTGCCACGATTAGCATGATTCTGGATGTGTTGCCTGAGGAAATCATCATACTCGGCCAAAAGCTCTAGTAATCCCAAGTAATTTCCATTATGAGGAGATCCAATTATTTCATCATCTCCACGAAGAGCTAGCCCTCTTTCACATAAAAATTTAAGCATGCTGATCAATTGCTTTAGAAGACTACACCAATACTGCTCAATTTGACCCACAAGCGTAGTTAGTTTTGAATCTATACCTCCATCTCCCTTTGCACGACTTGCTGCTGACAAAACTGCTTGAATGTGGTCCTTTGATTGCTCATGGACGACAAGCCTATTAGCATGCTTCCAGTGGCAGAACCCATCAGATGTGAATTGAGATCTTGAAACACCCATTAGCTTGCAAAAGAAGCAGTAGACCCGCCCATTTGCGGGGGGTTGAAACAAAGCCAAGAACTCTTTACAACTTCCCCATTTCGATTCCTTCTCTCAAACATGGCTGGTGTGCATTTGCGACTGACATTGTTTGCATCTTTTTGTACTGCTGATTTTGCATCCAAAAATTTAGCATCACTGTGGTGGAGACTCTCAGAACCGTTCGCAGCCCAATAATCAATAAATTGTTTTGTCAAATGTTCTGGCCATAAGTTCATGTCAATGTCATAATTTTGTGTAGTTGCCATTTGCACTTCAGGAGGCACATGCTTTGATTCAATTTCAATCTCTTCGGCAGTCTGGTCATTTCCCCCTGTAGATAGGCTAGAGCTGCCATATAAAGAGGAAGCTGATGCATCACATGCAGGTACTTGTTCTGGTTGCCTTGAAGATGAGCTTGCAGAAGCACTGACTAGATGTTCTGAAGCTGATGGACGAGTGAAGAATTCAGTCAGTCGACGTGTTTTTGTAAATTCTTTAGCTTCTCTCTCAGCACGTTCTTTAGATGTCTTTCTCTTTGCAGCAGCACTTTCGAAACGTCGTACACCTTTGTGTCTGTCCACTCCACTCATTTCTGCAACAATAATTTTCTGTCAACAATGACGGACACCTAAGTTTTCGTTATAATTAAAAACGTAACACAAATTGGCTGTTTGCTTTTTGCTACTTTATAGAGAGGTTAATTGATTACTTAACTCCCTGGAACATTTGGACGCCAGTATATTTTTAAAATTTGGAATTTTGGGTAAGATTATGACCTCTCCCTCTGACTTCTCCCAGTCCCACCGCTAAAGCTCGCCGTCTGTTCTCCTCCTTTTCACCAGTGACTGTACTGTGTTATACTGTATATACTGATCGTGGAACTGACAGAAACCGTCATTGGCATAGTTAATGTACTCAAAATACATAAAAAATAACTCAACTTACTTACATCCAATCGACCTGTAGTATCTTAAAGCACAATTATATATGTGAACATATATTCTAAGAGCACTCCCACCCACACTCAAGCACAAGCATCAATCGACTCACTCTCACTCGCACTCTCACTGTACATTTGCAAGACATGTTCTAGGAAATGACAACTGACAAGATCATTCATAACTGAGCGGCAACGACTTCACTCAACAAGCACACATGACAATTCTCTCTCTCATTTTACATCTGCAAGACATGTTTATGTCTACTCGTGGGAAGTTCACGAATCATGAGCGACGCAAGTCTCCTCTTTAATCGACAGACACATGACAACCGATGTGCAGATACTACACGATTCAACCCCCTCCGACCGACTGTCAACAAACACAGAGCCCTGATGGCTTTCGTAATGGAAGTGATAATGAAAAAATATTATATATTTTTTTTAATCTCAATTTCGTTATTCCATGTAGTTCATTTTTAATCAATATATGTTTGTGGAATTCTAAATATATTATTAGCAACACAAACAATAGCATTCATTAAAAATATACGGTTCATAGAAAAACCAGGTATTCATGAATTTCAAGGAGTAGCTAGCCTAATTTCTATCACGCTTCTTGCTGAACATAGTTTTACGTGATGGAATAGATAAGCATGAATTTTAAAGAATGAAAATAAAAATAATCCAAATGAATAAACAAATAAATAAAATATTGTAATATGTGGAGGCCCCCAGATTGTGGATGTCCCTGGGCAGCTCCCCACTTTGCCCACTCCTGAATCCAGCCCTGTTCAGGAGATTAATGACTGTCTTAAATAGATAACTGACTCTAACTAAACTACAAACATCAGATTCTCTGATGTTTGGGCAACAAAATAATCTAACTTCAGTAGCAATTGGAAATCCATGGCGATCCCCAGGGACAATATCAAGGGATGCCATTCATACTGGCAGACTCGACACTCACTTACTTAACCAGCGTTACAAACAATAAAGGCAGTTAAAGCTTTCAACATCACTCACAAAGGATTTTGTATGCTTTAACTGTAATCAGATATCTCTAAGTTGACTCAAAACATTGGTGTCCTCTCTCATATTCAAATTCACTTTCTAGAGAGGTTGGTTTCAGGAAGTCAGAGAAAATGGACTGCACCCACGCTTGGGAGCGATGAGAAAACGGACGCCTCAGATGAGAGACTCAATGAAGAAGGCATAGCTACATGTTTTGTGGGCTATTGAGCGTAATATGAATTGTCTGATTTTACGTTAAGTGACGTGTACGACCGTGGTCATTACAAAGCTTTCACCTCCCTAAGATTCATATTATGCGGTATAGTCAACAAAACATTTACAGTAATTACATAATCTTTCAAAACAAAACATACTGAAATACTTGGTTAATTGTCACCAATACAGCCAACATACATATTACAAAATTTTCACATCCAAAAAAAATTGCACATCATATGAATAGTCACAAAAACTTCCAGACCTGGGTAAATAAAATTAAAAAAGCAATACTTGTCATGGACACATAAAAGGACATAATCATACATCAATAGTACCGAACATAATAATAAAAATAAGATTGCCTCAATTACATTTTGGTATATGTTTACCTGCAACAGAGACGTGACCGATCACCCAAGCGGCTAACGAGCCGATCAGTGGTGAACAGGATATAAGTAAAAAAACAAAGTAAAAGTTCAGCGTTGCTCTCTCACCCCTTGTTTTTGCGTTTATCCTCTTCGCCACTCATCGGCTCGCTAGCCGCTTGGGCGATCGGTCACGTCTCTGATTACTTTTCCTTTTCATTTATCTTCTTCACCAAAAGATCGGCTCGCTAGCCGCCTGGGCGATCGGTCACGTCTCTGTCACGCACTGTTGGCAAATACTGGGCATGCACCGGCTCCTGAATGTACCTGAACCCGCTCCAGTGTTGGTCAAGTGTTGTCTTGAAAGAGCTCACACTCGGTGCCGTCACAACACTCTCTGGTAGATTTTTCCAAGAGTTTGCAGCCCTCACTCCGCAAAAGTTTGCCCTCACAGTTTTCTGGACTTGCGGCTTATTCAATCCGCCAGCTCCAAGTAAGGGCACTCGACTGAGTAGTGCCCCCTGAGATGCTTATACACCTCAACTAGGTCCCCCCTTGTCCGTCTGTAGTATAAGCTAGACAAGTTCAGGCACTCCAATCTCTCAGGGTAGCTGAGGTGCCGAAGTGCAGGCACCAGTCTGGTGGCCCTCCTTTGAAGATTTTCTACCAACTGACAGTCCCTAGCATATCTCGGGAACCAGACGGGGTGACAGTACTCCAGATGAGGAAGCACTTCACTCTTGAAGATGGTTACAAGGGACGGACCGCCTAGACATCTGAACGACCCAATAATTTATTTGCCTGATTTACCTTCTTCTCGCAATGGCCCGAGAACTTCAGCTCATTGTCAACATACACACCTAGGTCCTTCTCACATTCAGTCTCAACTAGTGCAGTTTCTTCATCCCGTTGGGACATATGATATGCCTCCTTACCGCTGGTACGCCCCAGGTGCATCCTCTTATACTTCGTGACATTGAATCTCAGCAGCCATTTCTTCGACCATTCCTGAAGCCCACAGAGGTCCTTCTACAGCTCTTCACAGTCCGCTTGGTTCTTAATTTCCCGAAATAACTTGGCGTCATCGGCAAACATTTGTATGGAAGAGTGTACAACGTCAAGCATGTCATTTATGAAACAAACAAACAACAGCGGGCCCAATACACTGCCCTGTGGTACCCCACTTGTGACTGGTACGGATGACGATTTCGTGCCATTAATCACCACACACTGCTTGCGGTCATGTAGAAAGTCTTCTATCCACGCTAGGACATTTCCCCGAATTCCGTACCCTTCCAGTTTGAAGTTCAGCCTTTCATGGGGTACACTGTCGAAACCCTTGGCAAATCCAGGTAAATAGTGTCGATATTACCACCCCGTTGTTTCGTAGTAGATGTTCCATTGCGGCATCTCTGATAATGCTCTAAAGTACTTTACATATTATGTTGGTCAGGTTCACTGGTCTATAGTTGTTCGTGGAGTGACGATCGCCCTTCTTGAAGATAAGACTCACATAAGCCACTTTCCATTCACTGGGGACCATTTGTTCATCCAGGCATTTACAAAACAGGATCTTCAGGGGCTCTGCAAGCTCGTTGTACAACTCTCTTAGCATTCTAGGATGCACCATGTCAGGTCCGGGACTCTTATGGACCTTTAGCCTGGACAGTTTATTTCTAATACCCTCTTCTGTGAACACAATGTGGGTCAGTGCTGTGTCGAACCGTCTGTCCTCAAACGCAGGAAGGTTAGTTGCATCCTCTCTTGTGAACACCGAGGAAAAGAAGCTGTTCAATGCCTCAGCTTTATCCTGGTCAGAATCTGCGTAACTACCATCCACCAGCCTCAGGTCTGATACTCCTACTCGCGTTTTCAATTTCGACTTTGCATAGCGGTAAAACGCCTTTGGGTTTGACTTGACCTCGCTTGCAACCAGCCTCTGGAACTCCTTTTCAGCCCTCCTACACTCTATCTTTGCTTGGTTTCTGGCTCTTGCATACATCCTCCTGTCTTGCTCATCGTTTGACCCAACCCACGTCTTGAATTTCTGGGTTTTCTTCTTAATTTTGTCGACCGCCGCATGGTTCATGTGTAGGGATCCCCTCGTATTCCTAGAAGCACTGGGTTTGGTCTTGGGTATATATTTATCGATCAAATGGGTCACTTTACTAGTTATGATATTCAGCGTAGTGTCTGCGTTCTTGTACCTTAATGAGTCAGGCCAGTTGATACCCCTCATCTCTTCCCTCATCCCATTGTAATTTCCCTTGTAATATTTGCACCTTGGCCTGGCCTTATCCTGAACTAGGTAACAGTTAAATCTGAATGACAACACTATATGGTGACTGGTGCCAACTGGGGCAAGGTGTTCCAGTTTGGCCACCATACCCTCCTCGTTTGTTATGATGAGGTCAAGTGGCTTGGGTGTTTGCTCCCCTCTGTAA